GCAGGAATAATATCTTTTTAAAGTCAATTACAAATTATTTTATTTTTCTTCAGTGAGGCCAGGCAATTTCCAAGTTTAAGACAGGTGCACTTACAGTATTGGGATAAACTCTTCTCTCAGCAAGTGTTTAGCTCCCATTAATAAGTTCTATGTATATGCATCAAAAGGACACAGTAGCCAATTACCTGGAGTTACAGGAAAATCTATTTTCAGTTCTGAACCAGTGAGCTTTAATTTGGCAAAAATGCATAAAAACGGAATGGCTACTCAAAGCCAGGCTGGACAAAGCAGTAGGAAAGGGTTTGTAGTAAAAGGCTTGTAAGACCCAGTACTCTACACGTATAGAAATCTGTATCAGCCAACACCTGAAAGTATCTGTTGATACTCATGATGCCTGAGAAGTTGCACATATCACTCCCACCCCTTCTGACAGAGCCTGAAACAAATTGCATGTGGGTTTGTATGTGCAAAATCAGTGGATCACCATTTGATCAATATATTTTACGCTCTCCCAATTTCCTCAATTCTCTTTAAACAGGTTGGAGGCCTGCATTCAGATATTATAACATGTGGGTGTCACTTTTTGGAGCCCTGTTGTGCTGTGGTGTCATGTTTGTCATCAACTGGTGGGCAGCTCTCATCACTTATGCCATTGAGCTCTTTCTATATATTTATGTAACATATAAGAAACCAGGTAAGGCCACAAAACACTATTATTTTGTGTATATGTTATGCAGCCAGACTAGATTTTACAGGAATTAATTCCACTTACAGAATTAGACATTACTTTTTCTCCGATACCTTTCTTTAGAGGGAAGTCTGGAGCATCCCATTAAATCCCACTTTATATAATATAGATTAAGATTACAGTCTGGTAAATTTTTGCCTGTTTAACAAGTACTTCAAGTATGGTTCAGGGCTTTGTGTAAACATTCCGGCACACCAGTTTATTCCCACCATGTCTTTACTACATTTGGGCTTTTACTTGAGTATCACTCATAATTTTTTTCCATCCACACACAAAGCCTTACCTAAATTCTGCTGTGCTCTTAGCTGACTCATCCGGGGTCCTCACTCAAAATGTAAACATGCTGCCCATTATAGAACAAAAATGCAGGCTGAATTACTCATGAACTGATCATCCTCCAGCACCTCCCTACAATTCCTCAGTAAATCAAGAACGATGGGCACACTTTACTGCTGGAAAAAACTGCTTAGTAGCTCAGCAAATCACAGGAGCTGTCCTCAGAAATTTGTACGCTAATACAATACAGCACCAGTATGAGACTGCACAGTCTGGTTATTCATATCCAGGACAAAACTAAGTCAGGTCCAGATCTCATTGCTAGCCATCTGAATTACTTCTACAGTAGAAAAAAAATAATACAAATAAAAGAAGCAAGTTTCCCAGCAGACGATGTGCTTTCATTGCAGCTAGCTTGGGATAGCAACACCTAGTCTGAGCCTGTGTTATTCTTTTCTGTGTATATTGCTGTGCTGTTGTGTGTTCTCCCTATCTGTGCTCTCATACCCACTGGGATGGTCTGTGGTTCTCTTCCTGTAAATATCATCAGCTGTAGGAGAACGCATCTGTCACAAGACAGTTGTCAAAAACGTTTGAAGATTTCTACCCTTTCCTAGTATATTGCCAGTGTCCTTGCTGCAAAGTAGCAGCTTAAAGCTTGGTTCAATTCACTGAAGACACTGTACAAAAGCTATCTATCTCCTGCTCTCTATGAGAGTGACTTTTGTTCAGCACTTATTTACCAGCAACTGAAGGGTTCAGAAAAGACTAATATTCCTTAGAAAACACGACCTCTACAAAAATCTCCACTTAGCTGCACTAAGTGTTAGCTTTGTATCTTGGTATAACAGGACTTGACCTGCATTCATGTAGATCTCAAAGTGTGGAAAGCTGTTTCTTATCTGTCTCCATCCACCAAACACAATAATGAGATAAGATGTATATGCCAAAATTGGTTTTGGAGAACAATTTTTGACCTATATAGTAGGAGAGAGCTAATTGGAGCTAGCAATGTTCCTTCCTAATGGTTTAATTTGAACTTCCTTAAATTCAAAATTCCAAATACATGACTCAAGACTGTCCATTTTATACATGGGAGAGGGATACGAAGTTAATGGAACAGAGAAGAAAACAGTTTTTAAGCAGATGAAGAACATTCCCTACAATTTTTATATAAAGAATGAGACGATTTATTTGCATGTTTGTTTTTGCATCACACCAGCAAAACCTATTCTATTATGAAGCACAAAGAATGATAGCTCTGTATTGATGAAGCGTGAGAGAATATACCCTGCTTTGGCTCATAGATAACATGATTGCTGACCTTTGCAATGGAACACAGGGAAAAGCACATGGTTTAATATGCATTATTTATCTTTATTATATGCAGAAGTAAATTGGGGCTCTTCTACACAGGCTCTTTACTATGTTAATGCTTTAGACAGCGCTCTGGCATTAACTACAGTGGAAGACCATGTGAAAAACTTCAGGTAAGATTTCCAGTGAACAGTAGAATGGCTTATTCTGAATGCGTACATCACCAAACTAAATACAACCTCTTTCCTCCTCCTAACAGACCCCAATGCATAGCATTAACAGGAGCTCCTATGATCAGGCCTGCTCTGCTAGACATCACGCATACTTTCACCAAGAACAACGGGCTGTGCATCTGTTGTGAAGTGTACACGGTAAGGTCAACTTATATAAATCTGAAAATTCAGCACCAGTGGGTGCTGCAGATCTCCATTACACATTCCACTCTCACTCGGCACACAATGCTCCCATTGGTGTTGATGGGCGTCTGTGCAGACCACGAAAGAGATTCGCACTGAGAATGAATTTTGTCATAAATCTTGACAAGAAAGTTATCGGCTGATACAGAGCTTGCTGGTAAATGCCTCATTGAGATGCATTTCAGAGTTCATAGTAGACAGACTAAAAAAAGGTTTGAAAAAAATAAAGAATTACAAGGAAATGGTTTTTTTTAAATGGACACAGCAAGGCAAAACAAACAAACAAACAAACCCCAAAAACCCAACACCACAAAAAACTTGAAAGATTATAGTGCAAGAGTCAAATTACCTAAGCTCTATTTTCAGCTTTGTAACTGATTTGCAGTGTTGGGGTTTGGCAAGTAATTCAGATCTCTTTGCAGTGGTTTCTCCAAAACTGTAACAATGCTAATTTTGAGGATAAACATGCTCTTCTCAGAACTAAAGAGAGGAGCAAAGTAAATTTCTAGTTATAAATACACAGGAAATTATGTATCTTAAAGGATGAAGATCTAGTCTCTCATTAGGACAGAACAAAAATAGATGGGTTTGTAGTGTAGAGGAAAAAATGTATTTTAAATATTACAATGACCTTTTAATTTTGAGAGGGGAAAAAAACCCCAGACAGCTCATGGCACCAAATAGGGCTTCAGAATCTTAACTAATAGAGTCAGTCCAGGCAAGATAATGTATTCCTCTGCAGGAGTGCAAGAATAATTCATTTGATGCTGCCACACTGAAGAAAGGGAGTACAGAAGATCTACATGTCATTCTTCCCAAATCAAATGAATCTATAAAGAGTGAATGATCCTAATTCTTCTCTACTGCAATTATTGTTAGCTTTCCCACTGCGTTCAGTAAGCACAGAATCAATCCCAACAAGATCCTGAGACTATGCAGCTTCCCAAAGTTGAGTTTCAGCAAGTTTTCTGAATTCTTAGGCATTTTTCTCTAATATTAGTACTTTCTATGGAGAACTGAGATTTCATTCCTGTCTATACAAAAAACTACGTGTATTTTTCTAGTATAAGCATTTTCATTGTTTTTTAAAATTATTATTTCTTCAGCAACTTAAGCTAAATTTAATTTAGTTGGTAATAGAAGTGTGACACAATGAACCTTTGTGATTTGCAAAATTGTGGTAAAATGTGGATGATAAAATTCCTAAGGACCACGCTGAAGAGCAGCCTACAATACATATCATAACAAATACAGCAAGACTATTTAACCATAAATGTAACACCCAGCATATTTTGCCTCAAAAGCTGACATGCTGCTAGCTATGCATAAAGTTTTGAGACACCATGCCTGACAGAGCATCTTCCATTCCTTTTTCCCAAAGGGCAGCAAGAAACTTTCCAGGAACATGGTGATAGATAGTTCAGAGATAGGTAAAATAAATATGGCAACTGAATATAAAGATGATTTAAAAGTTATTTGTCTCTGAGGTGGTGGCTGCATGTTGGCTTGAACAGTCTGAGTTTCTAGTAAAAAGGGCTATTCTGCTTTTACTCCCTGCCTTCATGTAAAATATTTTTGTGAGGTTAGTCTTCATTCAGTCTGCAAATTCACTGGACTCCTTGTACAATTGCACAAACATTAACACTGATATAAAGGAGGAGTAGGGAAGGACACAGCTAGGCTGTCAGCTGATAGAAGGGTGGGCCTGTCCCCTTGGCCAGCCGAAACATATTGTGCAAGCCAGTTGTGAAACTATCCTCAGGTACCCTCCTCAGAGAGACTGGGAGGAAGGGCAAGACTTCTTTTTCTCCTCTCCTTACCCACAAGGGAACTTCAACCTTATTGTTCAACTCATTATTCCCAGCTCTTCACACTACTCTTCCAACAGCCAGGATCAAGCTCTTCTTAAGTTACACCCATTAAATCCAAACTCCAGTAAATTTACTATCACCAAAGAATGTAGCATGATCTCATTAAAGGAAGATCACATGGACTTTCCCATCCTTTCCCTTGTACTTCCCAAATAGCCATAAGGAGTTCGGAAACATACATGAGGGACAACACCTGAGCAAGCATCAAGCCAGCCTACTTTTGATCATGTCAAAGCTCACTTTATATAT